CTGCTTCTCCCTCTGACCCTCCCCACTCTCATGCTCTCTCTATCTCATTCTCTCTCTCAAATAAATAAATAAAATCTTAAAAAAAAAAAAAAACCAATTATCACTCATCAGTGGCTGCTGCTTATTATACCATTAAAGTTAGTTTTTAGTCTCTGAAAAGAGCAAGGGGGGAGTCAATGTGATAAGTAGGACAGCAACGAACAGAACTAGGAAATGATAATATGGGTGAGAAACAAGACAGCTTCTACTAGTACAACCTTTGCATCTTCCTGCAGTAAAACCTCACAGAGATACATTTTCGGAGGCTAGATCTTACTTCCTAGAAATCAAAGAAAATTCATGAAAGAGAAGAACTCTCGGAAATTTGATTTGTCCATTGACTACGGTACTCTAGATCTGCAAGCAGTCCTCTCAGTTTATAGTTGAAGGAACTAGGACCTCTAGAGGGGAACTAATTTGTCCACCTGCTCTTTGGCATAGTCAGGTCTGAGGCTTTGGGTTCTCTTCTCTCTGTTAACACTGTTCTGTCTCTAGAGTGTAACTCCCCAAAGAGTGTCTGAAAACTCAAATCAAATCACGTTCGAAACTGCTGGCTTTGATCATTTTTCTGATTTGTCTCTAGGATTATTTTCTTGTTGAAGAGCCACTAACTGCAAACTTACTTTCAGCCGAGCAAGCTGAATGCTTGAAAACTCTCGGACGCCATTCACTGAAGGAACAAGTCGATTATACAACCCCTAAAAACACAAAACAAAAATAAAACACCACATAAGCTTAAGAGCCAACTATGAACTTGGATAATTCACAGGATATGACAAAGTTCATTACATTTATAACCAAACTGTTTAGATTAGAGACCCTATTAAAATTCTTGGCTAATATAAGCAATGTAGCCTTAAGTTCTATCGTTTTTAATAAATCTGACTAGATCTGAAATAAGGAACATTGCAAAAGACTTTGCATAAATATAAATATTTCTTTATCTACATAGCCTCACAACCATCAAATTAATATTTATCTGTCTTTGGCTTCCAAAACTCACAAGGGATTACTTTCAATGGAGGAAGTCAGGACCCTTGTAAATAGGCCAGAAAGTCCCACTTTTATCCACGTCCTATGTCTATGAGGAATTAGCACTTGTACTCTATCCCCATCAGGTGTGTGTTTACATCAGCTGCATGCACCTGAAGCCCAACAAGGGAGTCTAATCTCTTTCACAGCACATCTAGAATGGCTACATTACAGGCTTAAAAAGGTATCTTTCCAATCCCCTTAGTACAGAGCAGAGACTGGACCTTTGGACGGAATGAAGAGAACTGGCCTACCAACTGCCTTTAAAACTGAAGTCCTGTCTCAAAGAATATTTGCCTTAAAACGCACAACATAATTCACCCAACAACGTGGCAGGGGTCATAAACTCATCTGAGAATCCGACCAAAAGTATGGATCTTCTCCCCAAGAAATAAGGACATAGAGAGTTCACAAAATGTTTAATACAATTTCAGGCAGTTTACAGACTCTAAAGCTTTCCCATGAACTTCTTAAGAATCCAGAAATCCCAGGATAAGATGCCCAGAAGGGCCACCAAGGAAACTTCCTCACCTTATTGGTTTGAGTGTTTTCATGCAGAATCCTTGTGTCAACAGCGGCGGCCAGCAGGTTATTGGCAGCAGTGATGGCGTGAATGTCCCCGGTCAAGTGAAGGTTGAACTATAAATGACATGAAAACATCTTTCTGCTTGTCTCCGACAAGCACGGCAGTAATTCCAGGGACTTTCTGAACAAATAAACTATTGCACTAATTACACATACCCTTATAATGAGCTAAGGCCACAAAACAGCCTAAATAAAAAAATCAATGTCAGAGTTTTCCACTTGACACCAGAGAACTCTTAAGCGGACTGGCTCACCACAGATTCTTTCGTCTTTCGTTCTTGGGTTAAGGGTGAGACGTTCTGATGGCCTTAATGATCCTCATATAAAGTATGTTGTGGCCCTTGTTTTTCATGCATTGTTTTTATGATTTAGAAAATGGTGTCATATCAGATATACTTTAAAATGAGGCAGGGAATAAAACAAACAGTAACAATAGAATAATATAAAATATGACAGTCTGAGAAGTAAAAAACATGTATCACCCTCGAGACTCTATTCTGTTATTTTCCTTCCAGTCTTATGTGCATGCATGTTAATTATTTGTAGACTCAGAATACTCATAATACATTTGGTAACTTTTTGTTTAAGAACTTATTACTACGGGGCGCCTGGGTGGCTCAGTTGGTTAAGCGACTGCCTTCGGCTCAGGTCATGATCCTGGAGTCCTGGGATCGAGTCCCGCATCGGGCTCCCTGCTCGGCAGGGAGTCTGCTTCTCCCTCTGACCCTCCTCCCTCTCATGCTCTCTGTCTCTCATTCTCTCTCTCTCAAATAAATAAATAAAATCTTTAAAAGAAAAAAAAAAGAACTTATTACTACGTATTTTAATGTAATAATCTTGTTTATATGTAGTTACAGTTCATAGGGTCTGTATAATAGAGTAGATGTACCAAAAGTTTTCAGTCTCCTATGTCCAGACATTTAAATTGCTACCAAATTTTCACCTTTGCAAAGAAGGCTACAATTACAAAGAATACATGCAAATAATATTTTTAAATTAGTTGCTAATAAGCCATATATTTCCAGCAGTGTGGTTAAAAGACCTTGATAATACCACCAAAATTGCTTTTTGAAAGAATTGAAATACCACCCCGGAACACCAGCTGATCAGTTAAAACCTCATTTTATAAAATAAAGTATATGATCAGTAGAAAATATGAAAAATTACATATGTATATTTTATAAAATTTGTCATTTTTTTTAAAGATTTTATTTATTTATTTGACTGAGAGAGACAAAGCAAGAGAAGGAACACAAGCAGGGGGAGTGGGAGAGGGAGAAGCAGGCTTCCCGCTGAGCAGGGGGCCCGATGTGGGGCTCGATCCCAGGACCCTAGGATCATGACCTGAGCCGAAGGCAGACGCGTAACGACTGAGCCACCCAGGAGCCCCTAAAATTTGTCATTTTTAATATCAAGATCATAACACCATAAGAGTTTACACCTTGGCTTTTTTTTTTTTTCTTAAGTAGGTTCCACACCTAGTGCGAGCCCAAGACAGGGCTCGAACTCACAACCATGAGATCAAGACCTGAGCTGAGATCAAGAGTCAGTCACTCAACAGACTGAGCCACCCAGGTGCCCTTACACCTTAACTTTTATACTTAGTGTTAATATTACTAGCATTTTTACATCATTAAATAGTCTTCAAAATATAGTTAATATGATATCCTATTATTAGACATTTAAGATTGTCTCCCCATTTTTTTTTTAATGCTACAAGCTGTGTGAAAATAGCTTAAAATTAAATCTTTGCACACACAGCCAGTTTTTGCTCAGGATAAACTAAGAATGGATTTATTTGGGCCAGAAGGTATGATACTGTTTTTAAGGCACTTGATACATATTTTTACTTGCCCTCCAGGAGAGCTTTACCAACATCTGCTTCCCAGCAGTGTATAAAAGTATATTTCAATCTCTCGCTGCTAAAATTTATTATTATTAATTATTATTATTATTATAAAAAATCCAACTCTGTCAATTTGGTAAGTCAAATACCTGGTAGAAGTTTTAATGTAGATTAATTTGATTATTAGTGAAAATAAACAATCATTGGCTAGTTAATATTTCTTTTCTGATGTTTCTATTGAATCCTTCCGTCATGTTACAACTGGCTTGTTTTTCTTCCCTGCTGCCTATTTGATATCCACTGGGGTGTCCACTGGCCCCAAACAGGCTTCTCTTCTTCTTCTGACCACAACCCCTTTGCCCCTGCATCTCCAGCCACATGGCCATTACCACCCCATCCTCCATTTCTTAAACAACTGAGCCACCCAGGCGTCCTAAAGATTTTGGCTTTTTATTTTTTATTTGAGGGAGAGACAGTGAGAGAGCCTGAGAGGGGGAAGGGTCAGAGGGAGAAGCAGACTCCCCACTGACCCCATCCTCCATTTCTGATCCTTTTTTTTTTTAGTAGGCTCCATGACCAGTGTGGAGCCAATGGGGGGCCTGAACTCATGACCCTGAGCCAAGATCAAGAGTGGTACAATTAGCTGACTAAGCCACCCAGCCGCGCTGCCCCCCATCCTCCAATTCAATAAATGGAGTTGCTCAGCCCACTATCTTGGATGCCCTCCCCCTTTCTAACTCCCCACATCTAATTCTGCAAACCCAGCAAACATGTCTTACATCACTACCATCCTTTCTCTGTCCTCAATGCCACACCACCATCTTCCCCCTGGGCCTCCTTACTAGACTCCTAGCATCTGCTCTGGACTCCTAGCAGTCTATTCTCTGCACAGAAGCCAGCCCTCTTCTTATAAAACTCAGTTTATATCAATATTATTACTCTGTCAAGATCCCTTCCATGGCGGACCATGATATTCAAATAATACCCAGGCTCTCGGCCATGAACTTCGTAGCCTGAAAGAGCTGGTCCCCGTCCATTTCTATACCTCACTCCCTCCACCCCTGCTGGCCCATGGACACATGCTGGTGGCCTCTTGTTCCCTGAAGAGACCAAACCCCTTCTTGCCCCTCAGTGCTGTCCCCCGAGCAGGTGCCACTCCCTGGGATACTTTCCCCCCTCCCCCCCATTCTGCACAACCCTGGCTCCTTCTCACCCTTCAAGTCTTAGTATTTTCACCTTCAATTCCTCAACCCATCTGGAATTTATTCAAACATTTCCCCATGATTATTTATTAAGGTTCTTTTGGTACACATTGTCTATTCATGCAGTCGGTCAACAAATGTGGTCTGAGTGCCGGGCATTGTGCTCAGAACTGGGGATAGAGAGATGAAGAAGATACGGGAGGTCTTGGAACTCAAGGAACAAACTGCCTGATTGTTTCTGGCTTATTTAATGATCATAAGGCAGTTGCAACTATCATATGCCTCAAGTTTGCCCCAAGTCTGAGCCATGCAGCTGATGCCATGTGACAGCAGGACACCAATGCCCTTTGAATATCTGCGCAGAAATTCTCGAGCCATTCCCCTGGGCATGTTCCTTGTACTCCATATCCCCAACCTGGCCTCCTGGCTCTGGGTCGTCCTGGCTTGTGAATATTACTCACTCCCTTTCAGATGGGAGGCTCGGGGCTATCTTTTCCGCAATGCCCCGCACTATTCTTTCTCACCCCACCCCCAATACTTGAAAAGTGTCCAGATTTTCCCTGTAGCTTCCCTGACACTCAGGCCTTCACAGGTAAACACCTTTCCTATTCATTCAACGACACCAACAAACATTTCCGAGTGAGCCTCTACTGTGTGCTGGGCGCTGGGCTGAGTGCTGGGTCTATGGCCGCTAACTCACCATGGCCCACTGAACCGGATGAGAGCAACAGAACAGGAGGGGATCTGGGGGGTAGAACAAAACTTAGAGAAGGACAGGCTGGGGCAGGGAGGGCAGAACAGGAAGGGAAGAACGCTCCAAGCTTGGAATCAAGAGACAACAGGGCAGGAGTCAGCAGAGAGTCTGACGAGGTGGGGAGAGGGAGGGTGGCTCGTGGGGACCTGAGACAGGAGGCTGGAGGGATAGGCTGGAGCAGCACATGAGGACCTGCCTCGCTATACTGCACAGACAGTGATGGAGTAACTACTGAAATACACTCAACAGGAAAGCAACCGGCTCAGACTCAGGTTTGGGGAAGATTTCTTGGGACCAGAACTTAGAGGCCAGTGCAGAGAGCAGAAGTGATGAGACCTGGATAGATGGTCAGATGCAGGGGACAAGGGGGTGGTTATGCGGGAGTTGGAGTTCTTACAGAAACAAGAATGGACACCTTTGGCCCTTCTTGCCCATTTTTCTTAGGAACTATTTTGTTTTGTTTTTTATAAAGATTTTTTAAAAATTTATTCATTTGAGAGAGACAGAAAGACAGACAGAGCACAAGCAGGGGGAGCAGCAGAGGGAGAGGGAGAAGCAGGCTCCCTGGTGAGCAGGGAGCCCGATGCGGGGCTCGATCCCAGGACCCTGGGATGATGACCTGAGCCGAAGGCAGACGCTTAACCATCTGAGCCACCCAGGCGCCCCTCTTCAGCACTATTTTGGAGTCTCACTTTGCCCAAGGGAGGAGTCCAAGTCCTCCTGAATTGAGCAGTATAACTGATGACTGAGGAGGAGATACATCTCCACTGTCTTGCCCAGAAGCCTTGGAGTCATGTGGGGTTTGGGATTCAGAATTTTTGGTAATTTAGAAACATAGTGTGATATACCTCTAATTTTTTAATAATACACCGAAGCAGGGTCTAGGTCCGCATCTATTAATCAAATCTGCAGCAAAATATATGAATATTTATACCAAATGCCATAGACATAAATAGCTCGTAACAGTAAATGTCAGGTTTCGCCACTGTAAGTCATGCAAATGTTTTTGGTTTTCAGAGCCTTCAGGATTCTGGGACTGAGGATAAAGGACTGTGGGCCTGGGCTTATGGGGCCCAGAAAAAGGTTCCAGGAAGGGAAAACAATGACACACGACATGTTTTTCGCTGAGATCTTACCTCCTCCATGGGGATGACCTGGGCGTATCCGCCACCTGCAGCGCCTCCTGAACAATAAAGCAGGTACCATTGAAATCATTTACCAAGTACAGCGACACAGGATGAACGGGGTCGTAGGGACACAGCTCCCCAAACCCAGCAGGAAGGCCACCCCCAAGATGAAACAACAGGTAGTAAAAAACATTAACTGTCTTTCAAAGCAGAATAAAAGGGGAAAAAAGTCCCGACTGTCCAACTATGCAATGGAAGGACTTCAGTTTCTTGGTTTAAAAAAAAAAAAAAAAAAGGTAAAAATAATATAGCAAATGTCATTACAGCAAACATGAGATTATTTTATTCATTTATTCTCAGATCTATGCAGCTCTGTGTTATCTAAATTGCACGTGCTTGAAGTACCAAAAAACCTTGTTCAGCAAGATCCATCTGGTGAACTCAGACTAACACATTATAAAATTCAATCAATTGATTTTAGATAATAGTATGTAAGGTTTGGTATGCTGACTATTGCTCGAAATAGTTCAGTTACTACATTAAAAAGATTGAGCTTTCTTTAAACAAGAGTGATACCTTCCGTGTCTTGTCATTTTTACAGTGTGCCATGTTTTTTATATGCTCTCTCATTTGGTCCTCACAACCCAGTAAGCCAGATACTATAAACCATTTTGCGCGATCACAGATGTGGCTCAGAGAGGTGACAACTGGCTAATGGCCACACAGCGGTAAACGACACAGCCACGATTTAAACCACAGCCTTCTTGCTCCGAGTTTAGTGCTCATTCCGCCGCATAATGTATGACATCCTAGGAGTTATCAGTATTTAATGAGCTAGGGCTTATTAACAGCTGTGACAGTAACATAAATATTATCCCGTTACAAACCACAAAGTGCCAAGAACAAATAGTAATCGCAGCAATAAATGCTATTGTAATGTGAGCTGAAGGATGACCTCACGACAAATCAGCGGAGGAGTAGCGAGTGTGAAGGTGCCGGATGGGGGCCCAGCACAGCTGGCAGAAATTTCACCACATCTCTGGCCACGGCCACCCAGTTTCCAGAGCTCGGCAGGCCTGACAGCAGCTCTGACAGGATGAGCCTTCAGGCCCAACTGAAAGGCTCTTTAACTGCTTGGAGGGAAAGGCCTTTCTCTGTGGCAGGGATGACAAAGCACCAATATGAATGGCAGAATTGCAAAATGGCTTGGCAAAGAAGGTCCTGATGAGATCGAAGGCTTCTGCCCAAGGCTGGAGTGGTGAGCACGGGCCCAGCGACTGCTCCAGGGAACCAGGGAAATGGGCCTCCTGGGGGGCTCGGCTGAACGGCCCGCACTGCAGCCCCGTCTGCGGGAGGAACACCTTGGGGTGACCACCACGTACTGAGTGTGTGTGTGTGGGAGGGTGCCCGTGGGGATGAAATGTACCAGTTCCTCCGACAAGTTTCAACTCCCTATCTGTTGATAATGTTCTTTCACAACTTTTCTCTGCCCCAAATTTTGCTCTGAAAAATGTACCAGTTGTTAAATCACATACCTTTAACTCCAAAAGTTGGTCCTTGAGAAGGCTGCCTGAGACAGGCAAAGGAGTTGATGTTCAGGTGTGCAGTCATTGCTTGTACGAGCCCAACGGTCACTGTGCTTTTCCCCTCCCCGAGAGGGGTGGGTGTGATCCTGGTTTGGAGAGGGGGAAAAGTGAATTTCATAATATTTCCTGAACAACCTATGCAAAATCAACCTAAGGTACCAGAACCAAATCAGAGGAGACTGGAAGAGAACACATCATCCCAAAATTCACTTAAGTGCTTCAATTTTCATGGACCTTTATAGTCTACCCACGTGACACAGGCCACGCTTACGCTAAAGCCAAGATACGGACACACCTTCAGCAAGAGACCAAAAAAGAAAAGTTATTCAGCAGTGGTAACATTCTCAGCTTCAAGAAATGGCACAGAATTATCCATCAAATGGTTTAAGTAATCAAGACAATGTTGTGTCTCATTCTCTCTTCTAGGGCCATTTACTGGAAGCACAATGTGGGCGGGCACAAGGCCTACTCAGTGACCCATGGCCAGATTCTCAGGATTGGAAGGCATCCCGTCGTCCCCACTCTTCCATCTCCTTCTAGATATTAGTGTTCAGGGCTTGTCTTCGCCATGTTCCAACACAGTGATGGAGGCTCATTACCTCTAGGGCAGCCCATTCATTTCCAGAGAGTTTTTACAGTTAGAGAGTTTTTTTGTCCTAGAGAAGAGACGTCTGCATTCCAGCAGCTCCTATCTCCTGGAGTCAGACATACTCAACTCCATTCCTTCTCATCCAACAGCCCCTCAAATATCGGGAAAGATTTCACCCAACACTCCTCAGCACACTAAGGAGAGCAGAACTACTCTGGAGGAGCTTGTTGACCACAACACCCTACAAAACCAAACATCACACCACAGTGACACCATCACAGCATCAAGTAAGAGGACAAGCGTGTATTATATTCCCAAGTCAGGACCCATAAAACTGTTCCTTAGCATACTCTAACCAGTGTTCCAAGATTTAAAAACTGTCCTTGTGGCTTACAACTTGGTCTCAGTGAGTTAGATGGCATGAATCAGGTTGTCCAGGATGCTCCATCACAACAAAACTGATAATCAGAGTTTTTTTGACCTACGAAACCTAGTGATGTGACCACAATGAACTAACGTCCTTAGATACATCATCCCGTCCCCAACGACCTCAGACCCACCATGGCAATACAATCAATCCTTCTTTTATTAAACATTTATTAAGTACTACTATGTGCCAGGCCCCTAGATCCAGGGGATGCAAGTCCAAGTTGGACTCCATCACTGCCCTCCCAGAGCGTACAGCTGATGGGACATATGGACAGATCCACTGGCAATTAAAATGAAAGTGATAAACACATAGGACAGAAACTTGGCAATGAGACTGTGTTACGAGAGCACGTGGCAGGAGGATCTGATGAGATTTGGAGCATTAGGGAAGTCTTCAGAGAGAAAGTAACACCGAAGCTGAGACCCGGCAAATGAATAAACGTTAGCCAGATAAAATTGAGGGTAGGTTTGGGGTAGGTAGTATGTGAGGTTCTGTGCTTTACATTTATTGGGTTCTTTTTTATCCTCATTTGATTGATGAGGAAACTGAGGAATGAGAAGGTTCAGTAACTCGCCCGGGGCCGCGCAACAGTAAACAGCACAGGGGGCCATCAAACCCAGGCAAGCCACCGGACTTCCCCAGGTCACTTCTATGGAAACAGAAGAAATTCCAGGTTACTTGTATGGATAGAAAGTGTTTAACTGCTGTTAACCATACTAATTAGCAATTTAAAGCATGGCAACAGGAAAGATCCCTCAGTGAGAGTAAACACAGTACAAAGAGGGGTAAGGACAGAACTGTCCAGAACATGTTCTCTTAAGGAACGGTCAGAAGAAAGCAAAAGGAAACTCAGAAGGAGCAGAAGAGAGAAACCTTGAGGGTGAGGCAGGGGTGTGACAGGGGAGTCTCTGAAGGGAACCACGGAAGTACGCACAGAATCACGTGACGCAGAGACGCCTGACACCAGGTGAGGGCCTGGCAGCCATCACTGCGAGTAGGGACAAGGCTGGCGGTAGGGAGCTGGGGCGCCAACCCGAACTCGCTGGGTGAAGTAAACCTCGAAAACTCCTCAAGCCACACGACACTTGGTCATCATGAAGTCCGTTACAAGTGAGTGTTTACACTTTGAGTAAATTTTCAATTTTCTTAGTACAACAGGAAAAAAAGCAGTTGGTCAGCCACAGGCATCAGAATCTTATGATAGCCTGAAAAAAAGTGTGGTATCAAAGACAGGGTAGATTAAGTACCGTACTGACCATTTACTGTCTGCAAAGGAATAGGTGGTTTGCTTCAGTGTGTCACATGAAGAATTACATTTTCATTCCCAAGGATGGGCTAACATAGCTGCTGGAAACCGCCCAAAGCAGACACACCCAGAAGTGACCTCCTCAAAACTTCGGCTAACCATCCAATTCTTAATTAGAAACACAGGACCGCTTAGCTTCCTGCCAACTAATACAATTCAGAAAATCAAAAAAGCAGGAAGTATTTATTGGGAGCAATAAAAGGAGAGCTACAATAAAAATTTTATTTTACCTCATTCCTACACTTGATTGCAGACTTGGGTTTATTAATTGTTGTCCCACTATCCTTAACTCTGACTCCAAATTATCAAGTTGATTCAGAAAACAATGAGCACCATGTTAACCTAATTCCTTTTTTCTATAAGAGCCTAGAGTTTATGGAGTGGGAACTGTGGTTTTTGTTCATTCTCTTCCTCAACATCTCCCTGCAGCTTTATCTGCTCCTCTCTATATCCCACAGCATTTATTGTGTATTTATTATGTAAATTTTCTGAGGGTATCATGACGAGCTTCCTGACACGGATGTCCTGCCTACCAGCCCACAAGCTTGCTGAGGGGAAGGACTATGCCTATTCTCATTGCATTTCTGTCACCTGTCCAGGCACACGTAAGCAAAAAACGCTTGACAAAGCAATGATGTCTTTTCTAAGACAAATACGTTTACTGTCGACTACAGTAACAATGTACTGAAGTACTCCGTGACAGTTTAGACACATACTAAAAGAAGTTTACCATTTACTCCAAGGTCAAAGAGACTGCTTATGCAGATTATAGTGGTAAAACTGCATGGTTCTCAAAATCTAGACTCGAGAACAGTATTATTGTCATGAGCCATGGGTCTAACCAGGCGCTCCAAAACTACACGCTCAAGCAGCGTGTGAATATATATCACTCATCCCAGGTATCTTCCTGACTGGGAAGTTTTTAAAGGCTTTTATGCCTGACAACAAACTTTATAGTCCACTGGCTTGTGTTTCCCATTGCACTTGACTGATGTGAGCAGTTCAAAGGCCCCATCCGTAGTGGTTTCTTCTAAATACATGTAGCAAAAAACTCAACGGATATTTAAATAGCTTTCCAAGGCAGAAAAACAAAATCTTAAAAAAGTCAGTAAAGGTTATTTTTACACTTACCAAAAGGAATATTAAAAGAAAAAAAAAAATCAAATGAGGTATTTGGCATGCTACACATGAAAGAAAGTGATGCGAATGATTTTAATTACTCTTTAATGTGAAATTCAGTCTGTTCACAGACAAATTTGGGCTTCTTTTTGACCTGCTCTGTCTGAGCAATTCAGAGAAGTTCTACAAACTTCTGCACAGAGATCGGTGAAGGGCCAACGGAGCCCGAGCCTGCACACACATCCAATGCCCTACCGCTGCACTCCGAGGCAAGTTCTCAAACAAATTCCTTTTCATTAGTGTAACTGGGAAAATATGTAAAACTCAAGAGCCCCTAAGATTCTTCTGGCATATTTCCCTGAACAAGTCCCAATACTTTTCATTTTGTCAGGCAAAGAAAATACAGTGACGTATAGGTGTAAATACCACGCGATGTGTAGCTGATGGAATACAGATGATTCTGACGGAATGAGAAATTCTGAAGTTTGAAGAATAGCTTTTAAAGCGAATTAATCTGTGCTGCATTTGGGTTATTAACAGAAGATTTTTTTAAATCCCATTGTTTTATATTTTATTTCTACTGTTGACACATTTAAATCACATTTATGCGTATGTTCAAATGTGCAACCACGAATATATTATTTAGGTTTCTTGAAGAATTACTTGAGTAAAGCATGGGGAAAGACTCATGTTACAGTATTCAGAAATAAAAGCAGGACACCAAATGGTATTTATAGCATGATCTCAACGTGTAAAAAGGATAGATATAGAGAGAAAATCCTGGAAGGAAATATAAAAATTTTTTAACACTTCCGAGTCATGAGAGATTTTGTTTTCTCCTTTTTGCTTCTCATTATGTTAAATATTTTATACTGTAAGCCAGTCTTATTTCCAGAATATAAAAAAAAATCTTGCAGGAAAAGGAAATAATTCTCCATTTAATGGAGGGGTCCTTTCTATTTCTGAAGAAGCAGGGACAGCATGTGTAATGGTTTGACAATTGTCACTTTCCATAACTGATGTGACCAAAAGTAAAACTATGGAGGCGGTCTTTATCGCAAATGAACTTTTCATTTTAGATTATAAATAAAATGACTGTCTGGTGTTTTAAACTGATCTCAAATATCCAGCTATTAAAAAAGTTAGATTAAAAAGGCAGCTTACACACTTAAAAAATACATCATTTGTTGTTTGTGTGGTTTACACAGTGTGGTATATATTTTCTAAAACTCTTCAGGCTTTCCTGCAGATGCAGGTACGTCTCAAATTCCTACCCCCACAGCTTTTTTTCCTGATGCAGCTGAAAGGAACACAATTTAATTTTTGTTCCTTCATAGATCTTTGTTTTAAAAGGAACATATACCACAATTTCAGAAAAAGAACTGTTTATCTCTTGGGGTTAAATCTGTACTTGAGAATTGAAGTTTCACTTCATTTCTATCGACAATACGACAACCTGGCTTCTTCAGCTCAGATGCACGTAGCAATGCCAGCAAAGAGACAGGGTGGGACAAGAAGCAATGTTCTACTGGGCATGGGCCGACACACAGCCATAATCCTGGGAAACCAGGCTAGCTGTCACTCTCCAGCATGCGGCCAGCCCTTGAGGGTAGGCTTCAAGTTAAGAATCGATAACAATACCATCAGAGCTTCTGTTTCAGAAATATCACTTCTGTGTTCCCAGCTAAGGGCAGGGCCACGTATAGATTTGTTTTTATTTCCAGTATTAACAAGTGCCCAAAAGAGTAAATCACAGCCACTCCACATGAAAAATTACTGCTTGATTCTTCCTTGGTATACGGAGAGCCCATCCTCCTGGGTTTTCCTTAAATCTTCTCACCTTAAGCACGGGGAGAAAACCAACAAATCCACCTACCAAAATCACTCAGGGCCTGGAAAAAGGGAAGCAAATTTGTGGATAAAATACTAAATTTACTTTTGAAGTTCTGAATGTCCCAGAGTTTATTTCTGAAAATAAACTTGTATCAAGCACATTCCAGAAAAGCAACACTGATTCCATGTGTGCTCCATACCCTGGGACCCAGTGGTCCCCCAACCCACTCCCCAAGTCAGCTGGCTCCTTTCACGGATCTGGCCCTGGGGGCTCCTGTAGGTGAGGCCAGCCTTTCCTCTCAACATGGAGCTTTCCTGCAGCTCAGTTACGGAGACATCAGGGGTGGGGTCCTAGCTTGGAAAGGACCCCGGTAGGACTGGGAGTCCAACTGTAGTGAGCCTGAAAGCCTGAGGGAGATTTAAGCCACAGGCATGGTATAAATTCCTTAAAACCACAGGCACTGAGTGACTCTGAGAGCCCTAGCTGTCTATCCTTCCAAAAGAGTGACAGAGGAGCTGGAGAAAGAGAAGAGAGAAGGGGAGGGAAAGAAATATGAAGAAATTATTTGGCCATTAAGGAGGTGAAATTATAGATTGTAGTTTTATCTTTATTTTAAATAGTTTTAAAACACTGAATTTAAAACCTCTAGGGACTTTTCCTAAGGAGGTCATTAGGCAAGTATACAAGTGAGCACACACAGGGCTGTATTTATAGTGGCCAAACATGGGAAACAATTTGAGTGCCCATCAATAGAGAGTGGGCTAAATAAATCGTGGCACATCCTTATGATATTTTCAAATCATTTTTTGGCCTGAATATCCTTGAAGAATTAGAAGCACGCTGACCTGTCGGCCACTGAGCCACCCGGGGCTTCACGGTGCTGGGAAGATTTGTGACATGGAGTCCACCCGCATCCCAGGCATTTTTACTGCCCCCTGCGCCAGAATCTAGGATGGGAGCAGTGGAATGATACACAGTCATGCAAAATGATCACCAGCTCTACACTGGCCCGCACGGAGTGAGCTAGGTACACGACACACTGCTGAATAACCACACTGTTTACAGAACAGCGCGGGGAAGATGAGCTCATTTATGAAAGACTCCCTGTGTCAAGATGATCTCAAAGGTTACCAGCCCCTTCCTCCGGGTGGTAGGATTTGGGATGTTTTACTTCCTTGTTGATACTTTTCTGCATTTTGGAATGGCTTTATGAGGATGTGTGACTTTATAACCGGAAAAAGAAACAAGGCGTTTACATTAATAATAAAATCTGTAAAAATAAAGTTAACCAAGTGCGCTAAGTACGAGTCCAGTTGTAAGAGATGTCTCTGCCTGTTAACAAACAGGTTTTTGTGCCTTAAGCCTTGGCCTATATATCATCACTAAGTCACAATGAAATTTCAAGACAACAAAGGAATTTATATGGTCTCCTGATGTTCCCTCAGGTCACATTGAAAAAATATTTTAAATCCCTTGTTTTCTATCATTTTTCAGCCCGTGAACGTATTTCTTCTTTTAAAAAGAGGGAAAATAAACACTCCTTTTCACAAAAGCTTGCATTTATCTTTTATAAAATGACCAACACAAATGGAAATGGCCCAATATTAATTTTAAAATGCAAGAAAAGAGAAATAATGAACTTTTATAATGCAAATACATAAATAAACATTAAGGATATTAACAGGAAAATCACCTATACATTTTCCATTAAGATGTTATTTCTGAGTAGAACACAAATACCCCCCTGCTCAGTTCAAAATATTTTACTTTTAACTCTTATTTTGATTTTTATCCCAAAAAAAAACTAAATGAAAAATCCAAGACAGAACAAGGATAATCAAAACATAATATGAGAAACAAAAAAATAAAATACTGGATTAGCAACTCGTTACACTTTATATTATGTGGAGGAGACTAATTTGTTTTGCACTGAAAATGAAAACTTACCTCATGTCAAATGAAGGAATGCCAAGTGAAATGGACAAAAATGTCAAGCTTGAGAAAACGACGGATGTGAGGGGCGTGATGACAGATAGAAATAGGGAAGAAAGTTTTATAAACATGCTTTCTTAGTAAAATAGATTTTAAAAGTAGTCTTACCCAGCTACTAAAACGTATTTTCCATCTGCTTGATCCTTTAACCTTTCCAGCAGGGACAAACGTACTTTGGCTTTGCTTTTGCCATAGATTTCAATTTCATCTGCAAGCAATCCTATCTCCTTGGCAAGGACATCCACGGCTTTTGGAGTCTGTGCTTTTGAAATCTCAAGATCACTGTGGGGGAAACACATAAGAGGCGAGAGTCTCCTCAGCTTAGGTGGTCACTGCTAGAGTGAAAAGTCATACGCCATGCCAAAAATTCAATCAAAGCAATTGCTCTGTGGTCCTCTCTCCCAAACAGTATGAAGTACAACTGCTAATAATTAATGTGCATGAAAAAATGGTACATTTCTTTAGGGAAGCAACTCTTAAAAACTCATGGAGATCGTAGAACTCTGCCCAGGTACAAAGATAACACCGATACTACAGGAGAGAATTGTATATTCCTTGTAGAGTACAGCGCTCTCTGTGGGTCATCACTGTCTTCGCTAACCATGAATAGATGGGTCATTGCATAATGCTCTTACTATTACTAGGCTAGCTGCTTGTGTCTCTTGGCTATTCAAAAATGTGGAAATGCTATTTTGTTTTATCTGTGTCCATACTTTTCCCTCTCTTTTTCCTACTTCGAATCCAAAATCATATTTCAAAAGATTTTATTAATCGCATAACCGTCAGTAAAAGGACCTAGCACTCGAAGCTCAAGTTCAGACACAGTTAAGTTTAGGAACTCCTGAGTGTCACTGGGCAAATTGTTTATTCTATTTTCCTCGCAAGATGAGAACACCACTGTTCAGCTTATAGGAGTGCTATGAAATTGGCAGGTGCTGAGCTTCTCAGAAGAGTCTTTTGGGGCTCCTGAGCTCAGCTACTTGTTTTAATGGGGGTTCAGGCCATCCATCTGCTGGACTGAGCACCTGTTTGAGAGGAAGACGTAGCAGGCACAAGACAGAGCTGGGGACAGCAGGCCTCAGAGACTTGGTCGGTCATCAGGGTTGACACTTGGGGAGACAGCAGTGCCCTGCCTCACGCTGGGGCCCTTATTTGGGGGCCCAGTAGTCTCCACTGGCAGGCGGCCCCCTGCTCTGATTTTTCTTTCTCTCGCTCCTGCTGATACTCGACTTGAAGCCCTCACACTGCTCTGTGTTCTCCTCCACGACCCCATGGAAGTCTGACCTTGGGGCACGAGGTAACAGTGAACCCACTTCCAACCCGAACTTCTCTAAAGTGCGCTAAGTACGGCAGCTCAGAGAGGGTCAGTGCAGCTCAGCCCGGATGCAGATGAGGGCTGAGCTCTATGCTTCCTTCCCCGGCTACACCTGCATTTTCATTTCCAGTTCTCCCCCTCTTGCTTCACTGCCTATGCTCCCACTTCATTTTGCCTTCCTGTCTACACCTGTTTTCTCTTTCTCTCCTCCCCAAATCTCCTAAATGGAAACGCCGACTCTAAGAAAACCTCCAAAGTTTTCTCCTCACTAGCTAAAGAGTGACAGTGATATCGTTCTGATTTTTGAGGAATTTATAAACTACTCAGCCTGTCTTTCTCCCCCCCGCCCATACCTCAGAAGTCAAATTTGGTTCAGCAAATAAAACATTTCTTCCCCCAAGTGAAATTTATTTAGATTTATGCAAAGACTTTGGTACACAATTTGGCAGAGTCCACCTCATTTTTTTTTCGCTCTCTGTAAGTAGAACGTACTCATTTACTTTTAAAAATTAAAGTCTTTTAACAACGTAAGTAACTTAAGATATTTGATGAAACAGATTACACAACAAGAGGGGTGACATTACAAAACACACATTCCCTAGAATTTATGTATTAATGAACACAGAAGGGGATGTTCAGTCTATTTCAGGGGTGAAAACATAGCCAGGTGGGTAGAATGGAACCATGAGTGTTCAGCTGTGGCATAAGGAAACGGATCAAATCTAAAAAGCAAGTTGTTATCAAATGAAAAATTCATCAATTCCTGGGGGTTTTATCTACTGATGATGTGTTGTTTTCAGTGCATTGTTTTCCAATGGCATTTGTGCATGCCTGGATGAAGAGGGTGGGGCCAATTCACTGGAGTGGGGGGCAGCCAGAGGGACCCACGATGAGGCTAGAAAATGCATTTCTCTGGCCCTAATATCATTTTTAAAAAATTTTATTTTATTATGTTAATCACCATACATTACATCATTAGTTTTTGATGTAGTGTTCCATGATTCATTGTTTGC